GAGATACAGCGATCTTCAAACTGGCTCTGGTGTGCTCCATGTTCAGAGACCTTGTGTCTACTGAATATTTCAGAAGACGAGCACACTTCAAGTGGCTTCACAGTGAGGACTTCAGTAAATAATGAAATTATATACACAGTTATTGTTGCTGTTGTCACATGTTTTTCACTGACAGTATGTAAATGTAATTTTGTTTTTATACTTCTGCTTTCCACAGGTGTTTGCACATGGAGCAGGTTCTCAGAAAAGTACAGAGAACAGTACTTTAACATGTACTCTATTGAGATCTGCCTTCAATGTGGAGACCAGTACAAACACTGCCCCGGAGGTATGCAACACTCTATAATCTTATATTGTTGTCATTACATACAATAAAAATCTCAATGATGCATGACATCATGAAAACCATACCACTTGGAGCCTATTCTTCTCTGGTTGATGTATATATATATATATATTTTTTTTTTTTATTACAGGATACGTTGGCAGAGGAAAAAGAGGAGAACTAAGGGCACTTTACTCGGAGGAGATGCTCCCAGGCTACTGCAGCCACTTTTGCAGCCAAATGAACAGTTAATGTGTCTGCTCTGTCGCCGCCCCCGTCTCCACACACAACCACACACACACACACACTCACGCACACATACGCACACATGCACACACACATCTGTCTTTCTATCATAGTGAGGACCCTTCATTGACTTCCATTCATTTTTGTGATTTCACCATGCCTAACCCATACCCCAACCCTAACCATAACCAACGCTGATCTTTTCCTAACCTTAACTAAAACTTAATTCACACTATGCCTCTAACTGGTATAGTAAGCTTCTGGTATGCTTCTAAAAAAAGCGAGGACCAAAAAATGTCCTCACTTTGTAGGGAAAGTGGTCAAAATGGTCCTCAGTATGTAGTATGTACAAGAACACACACACACCAACCTGGTTGTAGTGACCAGGTTCCCCATCAGTGGTTCTCCCACATCTTGGATTGTGTTTTGATGCCTGTTTTTCTTTGTGAGAGTTTTTGATCATTCTTCTTGGAGTTCTAGAGCAAAAACTGTAATGCTCTTGTGGCAAGGTGGATAAACGAGGGCCCGGGCGGTATTCGACCCCCAGACACCCGGGTGAGAGTCATACGCTCTAACCAGTCAGCCAAAGGGACATCCCCTTGGCCAAGTAGCCAGGGCGCATGATCTATCGGGACACTGTGACAGGACACACACTGTCACACTCTGTTTGAGAAAGTGAATCTGTTGGGCTTGTACCTGGTACTCAGAGTACCACACTGCCAGAAAGGACAGGCTGAAAATAAAAAGCTTTATTTCCATCAATAGGTGTCTCCTTATTCAAATAATCTGAGTTGTAACCATCCTCTCAATCCTTTTTCTGTTGTTCATGCTCTTGTAATCTGTTGTTTGTGTTCCGCATTATTACAGTAAACGTGTGGAAATTATAAAGTGGTCCTGTGTTATTTTATATGGATATAAACATGAGTGTAGTTAAATCTGTATTTAACATGTTTAACCTATGAATACCTTGAGAAACTATTTTCAAACATTAATTTTGCAACATTGTGAAAATGATCACTATGGTATTACAAAGAATTAAGTTATTTCAAGACAAAGTGGCAAACTAAGAAATCTAACACAAAAGTAGAAAGTAAACAAATTTTAGGTGATGAGCCAAATTGGCTTTTGTGCAAGAATATATTACATTTCATATTGGAAAACATTCATAGGACATGTAGTGCAAATTAAGAATATCTGCTGTATCACAGTGACACATTTTCAGCTTTTAAATGAAAATATAACCTATTGTGTGGAGAAAAAACAAACATGTAATAGGTTACCTGAAGACTAATCAGCCAGTGTTTACTGACAATTTACAGTGGACATTATCAACAGAACATCAAGATAGTTCAAATCAATCGTCTCCACACATACAAGCATAAACACACTAAATCAAATTTAACACGCATTTAAAACACGATTTGTAACAACGCAAATTTAGTTTACAATCGGGCTAATTCGCTCGGTCAGCAAGTGGCAGTATCCTCGTACACTGCGGATTAAACTGCCATTGAATGGATCACAAGAAGAATAGAACATCTGCACATGCGCGGTACGGATCGGGTAGACCCGATCTGTATGGTCCGACGTTTTCTTTTTTTTTTTCATTTTTATCTACATTATATTGAAAGGTTTCACTATTGCAAACATTTTAATAGATACTTATTATTTTTTAACATCTTAACAGATACTCTGACCCGTAACTACCGTAAAATGCTTCGAGCGGAAGTAGACGCCTTTCGCGCATGCGTGGTACCGATCGGGTTTCCGGTACGGATCGGGTAGCGACAGGCCTCATTTACAGGCTTAAAACTAGGTGCTGGGGTCACAAACACTAATTCGTTTATGAAGGTTAATGTTCCCCAGCTTTCCGCTTTAACCATCCCGAGCAGAGGAGTTCGTCAAGGTGAGGTTTATATATAAACGTTACGATTTTATCCGGCTAGTCATGTTAGCATGACGCTAGCATGCTATCATAACAGCCAATGATTTTTATAATGACTCTTGTTTTGATCAGGTTTTGGTTTATATTCCTATTTTGTTCTGTAATTGAGAAATCGTGTTTGTGATCATTTGTTTTGAACGACATTAATGAGTCAATGTCACAATCTAGATGTTTAATTGCTAATCAGTCATTTCTTTACAAAGTCAAACTCTACTGTACGGTCACTATTAATAATCATGTTTACGAACGTTTTTGTAAACTAAACATATTTGTATATGTATTTGTAGTTAAACAAACAACAATAAAACAACTGTTTTAGGTAGGAAACTGGCTGCTTTAGAATATTAGTAAAAGCTTGAGTCCGTTTTGATAAAACCATAAGAAAGAGCATCATTAGAATTAATAAATAAAACATTTTACATATTTATCAGGGGCTCATTATTGCTTGCATTAAGCTTTAATATGTTTTATCAGAATTTGTCAACCATCACAGTTTAATGCCTAATATGAAACATTAATATTTTCACAGTTGTGGAGAAAAGAGAAGGCAACACCACATCTGTAAGTATATCCGACTGCAACTCCAAGCATCTAGACTTTGTTTTCTCAGGGTTTTCTTAATTTATTTTTTGTTTATTAACTAAATATATGAAACATATTAGTTTTCCAATTATCAGAGTAATAACGCTCAATGTCCAGAATAGTTTCAGTATTCCTTTATTCTGTCAAGAAGCATCAGTTTAGTGGCGTAACGCTTGTTCTCTGGTAGATCGAGGGACAAATCATAGACTTACCAGCTGCACCTCAACCTCCAAATCCCACAGCAAAGTGTCCCATCTACAGGTGGAACCTGCAGCACAAGTACACCTACACTGTAAGTACTACACACTTTGACCTTGATGGATTTTCTGTGATCATTTAGATATTTGATTTCTCTTGGTTGTCTTCTTCCTTTCCAGGATGTGTTGCTGCTTCCTCAGTTCATCAGGTCAGATGGGGGAATGCTGCCTAAGAGAATCACTGGTCTTTGTCCGGAGGAGCATCGCAAGATAGCCATATGTGTGCAGATGGCTCACAGAGCAGGTTGGTGTTAAGTTAGATTTACAGCTGCTGTCTTTGCCTGTTTAATATTTACTTACAAATACTGGGAAGTTAGTGTCATGACTGAGTCATCTGGGTTGTCAGAAATTAGACTAGACTTCAAATTAAAGGTGGTCTGGTGTATTTTGTCTATTGACAACTTTTGTATTTTTGACAGGGAACTTAATTAAGCATGAATTTGAAATCATCCAAAATAGGCAATCATAAGGAATTAATCATAGTCAATCAGCAATAATTAAATTGTTCTGCCCAGATGGTCGTCAGCTGGTTAGTTTTTTCCAACTTTCATTAATCGTAGCATTTCTAAATTTTTATCGTGCTTAAAGTTAAATTCTACATCAGAGAAATAAATGAAAGGGTTGGGTGAAGCACATCGGAGACCAGAGATTCCCCCAGGTTGCTCATATTGCTGCTGTCATGCTTCAGTTACTAGCCTAACTATATTAGCAGATCCCTTTCTGACTCCGAAGAGGCAGTTGTGGTCAGGATCAAATCAGCTACAGCTCTTCTGGGCTTTGTTTGATTTGATTATTTGACGCTGAGTAATTCTCATTTCAGCCTGTGTGGATCTTAAATGCAGAGGCTGCAGTGAGCTCCACAGATGTTTTGCCTCTGATAATGCATCTTGTGTTAGGAGATGGAACGACTGTAAGGATGATGTTGTGGCTTTAACAGCATGATTATATTTGAACGTGCATTCATAGATCTGATAACGTAGGGTTGGGCATCGAGCATCGATTGGAACCGGTTCCAACTGTTCTTTTTTCCCGGAATCGTTCAAAGATTTTATTTCGATTCCTAGTATGCCGACGGAAGAGGAACCCGTGGCCGATCTCCATGAAAAATTAACGTGATCTGCAAATTGTGATCAGCGCTTTTCAGAGCTGATCACACCAGCTGTCTGTGTGCAACCATTTATTTATTTTACTGTATTCAAGGTCTGCTTCCTGATCACAAACCCAAACTTCCAGAGGGTCATGTCCCCAAGAGGCCCACGCTGAACAGGTGCTGCTCTTCTCCAGCATCCGCATTCATCCTCAGCACTTTTAACCCTGCATAAGAATTCCTTTAGATCTCGTGTTTCCTTTGCAGGTACTTGACTCGCTGGTCCATCGACTCGGTGAAACCCATCTATAAACGTGGACTGAAGTGGCGTAAGAACCTCATGGATGTGGGTCACCCAGCACTTAAGAACAACGTGCGTTATGGTATAAAGCCACTAAGCTTCAAGCACTGAAGGACAAAAAGCCTGACAGATGTGCACAACAGCCGGTGGAGGATGAACCCATCACTCAGTGGAGCTGTGGAAAATCCAGCTTTTCTTTTTTTTATGGACAATGTACCTGGATTTGTCATGGTGGCATGCAAGAAAACGCAGAGGCATTCATTTAAACTTTTATTAATCTGGGTCCAACTTAAGAACATTGGCCACGAAATGGTATCCTGAACAAACGTTTCAATAAAACCAGCCTGTTTGCCTCCTCCTGCTGTGTAACAATACTTTTTATGAACAACTATTAAAAGGTAGAATAAACCAAACTGCACAACTCTTGGTGATTAAAAGAACGCCACGCTAAAGAAAAAGAAGTCTACTAAATCATATGAGCAAGGTGTACATTTTTTTGCCCGTCGCCGAAGTAGATGTATCCGTGGTGCGGGGTCGTCGGCACGTGGTAGAAGGCCAAACCAAGCCATAGGAGGCTGCTGAGGATGTACACTTTATCGTCACTTTCCCATTGAAGAGACCATGATCCTAAATAAAAAAGAAGAAGAAACTTAACACTAAATAGTTTTTTATTGTTAAGCTAGAGCTTTAACGTTGATCTCAGTGATTGTTGAGTTAGAAACTTGACCAGTTTCATATTAGACACCACTCTGCAGCCCTCTGCTGACCAGATACTGCACTAAACAGTTTAATGGAGCGGGTAGGTGTTCCACTGGGGGCGCTCTACCTTCTTTACAGCTGTTATGCTAGCAGATAGCAATTTCAGCACAAGAAGAAGAAAAAAAAGAAGTTAGCCTTTTTGTTGCTATCATGGCGGAGCCTGGAAGTAAAAGTAGGAGAATAATGTCTTTGGAGAAGAAGCAAGGAGCTAAAACAAACCAGAGTAAACATCAGCGCAGCCTTTAATAGTTGGAGGTGGCCAAAGGAGGCTACAGATTCCTGGACTGATGGTGGCCTGGCTTTGTTGCTACAGAACTTGTAAGTAATAAGTTTTATCCAACAGTGTGGATTTATTTACTTTGTGGTTTATTTTAGTATTAGTTGGCGGATGTTAGCTCGTTTGTAGTGCTAGCGACAGCAGGTTGTAGCAGGGTTGTTTACAACAGTTGTAATTCCGCTTTCAACCAGTAGGGCAGAGGAGCAGGAAATTGCTCAGCCTGACTTTTTTTGTCCGAGACCACCATCTAGAGGTGGAAAAATGTACATTAAGCTCCCCTCCCTACTTACTTCCATGCACCTCTAGCTGAGAAATAGAAGTAAAACACATGGATTTCTATTACTATTCTCATGTTATGCTGATTATTCATAAATATATTTGAAATACTTCTCTATAAGTCTAGGTACTTCTGCAATCAAGCAGTGATTGACATCCCTACATGTCTTAATGCCATTGACAAAGTCTGAGCGGTGCTCGGCTCAAATTGCATGGGACTCTATGTGATGGGGCGGGTCTAGCTGAAAATAAAATGGAGTTTTGCCTGCATTATGTCACAGAACAGGGTAAGACGATCACTTTCATCATACATAATCCCTCAAAGAGGAAAATCCCTGGATTTTGCCTTGGAATGTTGCCGTACATATATGCAGTAATATTTGGTAATATCACAACTTTCTCATGCTGGAAACCGCCAAAGGACACTAATAAATCTCCTGTCAGTGCTTTTGACGTCGTCCAGTCGAACCCGTTTCTCAGTAAGTTTGGGCGTGACTGCCGACGTGGAGATTATGGGAGTTCGACACAGACTGGAGTTGGACTCGTCTCAGAACATGATGCAACTCCGAGTAAAATTGCCACGGGCCTTTGGTAAGAACTTGTTACAGGAAGATGAAGAAAGGTATAAATTAGGAGCTTGGGATTGTTACAGGATAAATGTTGATTAAAGGAAAAGGGGAATCCAGGAAAGCATTTTTATTTTTTGACTATTTGGTGTTTTCTTCTAAGTCGTTGTGATTTCCAGTGGGAAAATCTTCCTCGGCGCGGCGCGGGAGCAGCTGTGCCCGTCTCTGTGGTGACAACACGGCTGTCATCTGACTCAAAGAACACACATAAGCAAGCGCACATGTGGAGACTCCTAAATCAGACCATCTGCGACATGTTTTCTTGTGGCTGCAGAACTTTTTCTGTTTTTTTATTTAACTTTTGAGATGTGCACACATCCTTTTACACTCGGGACCTTAATGTGTGTGCTCAGTCTGGCCTGGAATGGATCCAGCTACAAACCACACTGTCTTGTTGACATGATTGTGCATAAATACATTTGCATGACTGGTTTTATAGTATTTATGGCTTAATGTTTGCCTCCTGGGTTTGATTTTTCCATTACATGTAACACTGTCGATGTCTACGCCTGCCAACAAGGTTTGAACTTCAGAACTAAAAGCCTACTAGACACTGGCAGCAAATGTTAAATAGTAAAATAAAATAACTGCTACCCAGTTTTTATTTTTTAATTTAAGGAAACTTTCCCCTTACCCTCAAATAGGCTGAATTTAGCTGTAAACAGGGTATCTGCAGGTTTAAGGGAGCCAAATTTAAGACTTTTTAAGACCACTTTGACCTAATTTAAGCTATTTTTAAAATTAATTTTAAGCTATAATTTCCAGCTATTGCCTGGAACCGGTGCTAACCACGTCGCGAACGTGGGATTAGCCATCCAGTTACCATTAAACTTCCCCATGGCACAAGCTCCCACTAGCTTAACCAGCTAAAAACAGCCCCCTTTCACAACCAACTGAACGTGTACGGTTCCGCTTACGGCAACATCACACACACAAAAAAAGAATCTTGTTTATTGGGTCTTTAGTAATTTAAGACCTTTGGAAACTGTATTAAAGGATTATTTGTCATTGTTAAGGATTTTTAAGGCCTTAAATTTGGAAAAGCTAATTTAAGACTTTTTAAGGACCCGCGGACGCCCTGTGTACATTTTGGGTAAAATCCAACACAATCAGGTATAAAATATGCCAAGAATGTGAGAGAAATTTCCAGAAAGTCTGCCTCGTGTATTACCAACAAACAGCTTTAAGTTGTAATATTTCACTTTAACCTTTTACTAGTAGGGTTATTCAACGCGTTATCATTTGGATGAGTCCTACCTTGGCTTTCACACAGGTGAATAACAACTTTTTTATGGCAATTAGATCAAATTTGGATTATTTCTTTCACCTTTTGGGACGTCATCACTAAGAACATCCAGGAAGTCAAACGATGGGCACCAATCTCCCCTCTTCTGGACGTCTTCCTTCTTTATGCTCTTTGGTTCTCTGAAGTGCATGTAATTGTCAAGCGACTTTCCCTCTGCTTTAGAAAGACCTTAAAGAAGGAAAAATAAAAATAAATCAAAGCTGAATCACAAAGTGCAGAGGCAGCTAACCAGTGGAATGCAGCCAAACAAACACGATGGGTTTGTATGTCTGATCTAGCCACTCAAAACAAATCTGACTGATCCACGCATGAGTCAGTTTTATGCACCGGCTAATCTCAACACAGCACAGCGAGACATCTGCACCGCAGGATTTACAGCATATTTACCGCCAAAGCTGCGATTGAGCTGAACAAGATCACCAGTCTTGATGAAGGCTCCTCGAGGCACCACAGACACTTCTTCATCGATCTGCTTAACCGTCACAGCCAGCCTCATCTCCTCAGTCGCCACCAACTGCAACCAAGAATGTTTCATTTTGATAGATTGCACTGATAATTTCAAACCTAATCTGATTTTTTAATCATTGAAAAACAAACATGTTTTACTTTTATGTGCTTTTTGAAGATCTTTCTTTAGACTTTGGCTTCGTTTTTGGACACGTTAGTCCAATCCTTGACCATTTATGACTTTTTTTAACAGAATGAAATGACTGTTCCACATGTCGTTTCCCCCCTCTCCTCTGACACAGGACTAGTCTGCATGAGATACGGCCTCAAGGTCTCATGCATTTGTTATAAACTGCTTCTTTCCAGCTCAAGAGAAGAATGAAGAAAGGACTCTCTCCTTTTAATAAATCAAAGAACTCTATTTTAATCAAATAAAGTGTTAGTCAATAATAAGATGTGACCAATTGGTGAAATCAAAATATTAATTACTTTATTATAATCCTATAGAATATAATAAGTAATATGACTTTAAATGTTTCCACTAGGACTGATCTCACGTAGCGTTAAGACATGACACATTGCTTCACTGATCCAATCAGAATCTGCCAGATCTGACGGAGGCGTGGTTTTGGTGGTGTTTGGTAAATCTGTCATCTTTTCATTCGACCGTAAACCAAAACATCCGAAGTATAAAACTATGCCCACGCCATCTCTAACGCCAGTTCAAAGCGTTCTAGAGAAGTTGTCGGAGTGGCCAATCCGTAACTTTCCTCTTCAGCCGAAAGAACCAACGACACGCTGGATAAAATCTGTTGCTGTTCCAACCAATCAACGGTTCCTTTCAGAATAAAAGCTGAACCATCACGACCCAGGTTTGGGTATCGCTAGATGCCAACAAAACTGTTGTGACCCGGAAGTATCTCACAGACTGGTGGTCGGCTGCCGTGGCTGTTTCTACGGGCTTCGGCTCCATAAAGGTCAAGCTGGACCTCTACACCTCCTGATCTAACGGGGACTTCCTCTAAGGGTACGTAGGCCAACAGAATGGCGTCGAATGTGTTTAAGAATCTCCTAACCAAAGCGTAACGCGAAGACGTCACCTTCACTTCCCATCAGAACTAATCGTTTCTTCGGATTTGCTGGTTCTGAACAACATTCCACACTACACCATTCTCCGTCTCATCCACCTTAGTTACACCATACATTTAGTGTTAAAGTTAGTCTAGTTTAATTAGCTAGTAATAAATCTGTAAACTTTTAAACTTGACTCTCTCTTCTGTTGTCTCTGAGTGAATATGAAGCTGTTATCTAATCCCTGCATTAAAAAGATCCAATCTTCTGGTTTAAATAACCCAACAGATCCATAAGGTGGATTTCATATTTCCTATAGAATCCCACGTCTCATGGCTCATTAAATAGCATGTAATTTAAAATCATTACAAAGGAGTACAAAGGCTCTGAAGCTTGCATAAGCTCATCTTGTGTGGACACAAACATAAAGAACAAAAATCAATGGGCATGTTTTTAGCAGCCTTAATGTAAACAAAATAAAATAAAATCAACATTTTTTCACTCGGAGAACATCTTGCATTTTACTTTGAAATTAGACACACATTAAAAGACTAATGTAGACGTAGCACTCACTGGTAGTCACTATACATAGGGAGCCTAAGCCACGCCCATCTACTTCCGGGCCATGGGTCCCCAGAAATAAGAAAAAGTGAAAGATTCAAATCAATGGTGCTATAAAAGCTATTTTCTAATCCTGTTTGACATGTGCCATGGATTTCACACCACGAAGACACATTTTGATGCCAAGAATGCGCTCATTTTTGAATGGTGGCAAAAGTTATTTTAGGTTTTGTGTGGAAAAAACGTGTAGGACTACAAATGTTTGTCACCATATTGAAGTCATCAAACCAGACACGGAGAAGAAAATGGCGGAGTTTAGCCAGCTTCGAATCCTTCACGGCTGAAGGAAAGACACAGCCTCCACTCCTAGGCCCAGCCTTTGTCCTCGTCTCCACCGTCCAGGTGTGCGATCCTGGCTTTCAAAAAGATGATCCAGGCGAACAAAAAAGGTCCAAGTTCCAAATAAACAAACGGTTTACTTGCAGGGGGATGTTTTTTTTACTTGTGTAGAGGCTATTTGTCCATAAAACTTAAACAAAAAATAATCAAACACTTTCAAATGGCCACTGGGCTATGTCAAGGGTTTACGCACGGGTAAAAAAAAGTTTCAAATAAAGCAATGTCCATGCCAAAATTGAGTTTGGTGGTGGTTTATTCACTCAAGCAGCAAGAGCACAGATTTTTGCCTCCTCTCTGTCCAGGGGCGTGTCCAGGGAGTGGCCTGGGGTAGCACATGCCACCCTTGGAATCTGATTGGCCACCCCAGGTGCTAACACACTAATTTACCTTTAAATGGGCTTTTCATTGTCCGCAAAAGGCTTGGGGGTAAAACAAAAAAGGCATAACCATTGGTGCCACCCATGCACAAAGTTGTGCCTCACCTGGGCCACCCCATTTTAAAAGATCTGGCCACGCCCCTGTCTCTGTGTGTGGTAAAAAAAAAAAAACATGTTCCCTGGCAGCCATGGCTGCTCCACCCACCTTGACCTATTTATACCAATAATCACCCACACCTGACCAACAAACAATAAACTAATGAGCCAAAATAATAAATAAAAAGCATTATGCAAAACAAATTACCTTTGGCATCAAATAAAGAAAATAAACTGGGCTATAACTTAGGCCTATAATAAAGTAAATAGCTTCAACAATAGATAATTTAAGTGAAATCTGTGTTATGCTTGGTGGCATGATCACACATACCCCTGCACCTTTATCTCCATCACTGCGGTGGGTCCTTGCTGGGTACACAAAAGACGGCTCCCCTCTGAAAGGACCCCTTGCATTTGCAGCTACCTGCTGGATCATGGAGTCCGTGATGGAGGGGAGGAGGAACCAGTTCATGCAGTCAAAGCTGGAGGTGACAGACCACAGGTCAGCCAGAACACATCACACTAAAAACAGTTGGGTTAAAAATGACCCAATTTGGGCTGTTTTTTAACCCAGCCGCTGGAGCAACATTGCACCAGCCCAGCAGTAGTTAACTCAAGATGGGTTCCTCCATTTTAACCCAGCAGATGAGTTAAATATTCCACCCAAATTCTGGGTCAAAATAGCCACAAATCTGGGTAAATTCAACCACACTTACGTGTTATTTACTCTACCTAAATGCTGGGTCAAATTACTAAAACTATGGGTTGTTTAAACAACATAATGTTCAGTAATCACTCCAAATGTTTGGTCAATATGCCAAATTATTTCTAACTCATTACATACAGTGCATTTTGGAAGACAGAAAATTGCACCTATCCACACTCAACTATCAAAACATACATGCTAGACTTGGTCACGTAAAGCATATACAATACAATAAAACTTCAACAATACTGAAATCTTTACAAGGCACTGCCTTGAAATTTATTCATATAAATGTAAACAATATAAAAGTTCTAATCACTTCACATCAAGAACTGCAACAATGTACACTGAAATACATGTAACTCAGTGCTTAAAAAACAACATTTAAATGGTCAAGAGTACATTTTACAAATACCTATTTGCTTCTTTTGCTAGCACGTATTCTACTCTGCAGAAACTTTACTAGTTTCGACTCCCCTCCTGGGATTTCATAGACGGTGGTTTGCAGGAATTTCCAGACGTGTTCACACTGCCTCGGGTATTCACTGTCTAAAATAAAGAATGCCTTGAAGCAGGCATCGACGGCCTGAAGCAGTGTGTCATGTTCCACAGCCTGGCCAGCAATGATGACAAAGGCCTGAGACACATGCTGTGTTTCATTTCCCAACGTCAGCACATAGGGGAATGGTCTTGTGGCCTTGGCCTCGTGGAGGTATTCCACCATGTTGGTTCCAGGCTAAAAAACAGAAAGAAAGCATAACAACAAACAGGTGAGAAGGAATGCGTGAGTAAGGAACACATGTCTACCAACGTCAACTGGGTGACAGTGGCACAGGAGTTAAGTGCTTGCCCTGTAATCGAAAGGTTGCGTGTTTAAGCCCCGCTCAGTTTGTCGCCGTCATTGTGTCCTTGGGCAAGACACTTAACCCCCCTTGCACCAGGGCAGCTATGGCTACCCAGTGTGTGAATGTGCTTGTGAATGGGTGAATGACTGTGTTGTACAGTGCCCTGGGGGGTTCAGGGCTCTATAAGATGCTATATCAAATAAAGGTTATTTATCATTTAACTAGTACAGCAGAATAAAAAAAGACATTATGACAAGCATTTTCCTGGTCCTCACAAGAAATATTTAAAGAGCAAAATGCAGGTTAAAGACTCCCAGGAACCAATGTTTAGAGAAATACAATAGAAACTCGTTCAAAATTTTTTTTTACACATATATAATTTAGGCTTTTAGAGTCATTTTTGTGAGATTTTTTGTTTTGCCAAACCAAGTGACGTTTGCTGAGGGAGTCCTGTTAGTTTAATCTAGCGATGCACCGATATGAAAAATTTTGGGCCGATGCCAATATCCGATATTAATATCACTGTTATGGCCGATAACCGATATTTGCTGATACCGATATACTGACATTAATGCTTCTAAAATCAGATTTTGTATAGAATGAACATTTTTAAAGCGGAATTTACGTTATGTACACACCACACACACATTTACAGTTCTGAGATGATTTCATTCACTGTTCACATGACTTAACAATCACACATCACCCCCCTCACCCTCTGAAACAGGCAAACAAATGGAGACAAGATGGAAAAAATATCGGTTGTTAATATCGGCCCGGTTTTATTTATCGAACCGATATCGATATGTAAAAAAATGACTAACATCGGCCGATACCGATATTCATCCCCTGTTTAATCCGGAGAAAAATCTGGATTCTAATGCGGTTCTGACACAGAGGAAACTTTAAATGTTTATAATTCTACTTCTAATGGACCAAAACCATACAGCAAGGTCTGAATGGATTAAAGCACAAAAGTGTTAACATATAAATATGTTAACTTCTGAGTCAGTATGGTGTGGTAACGAGGCGATCATTCAGTGGCACTGCAGCCTTGTTTTAAAAGCATAAGATGTTTTTAAAGTGACCAACACAAGCTTGTAGATGACTTGACAATATTTGTAGGTATAGAATAACAAATCTGGATATGTGTGTGTGTGTGTGTGTGTGTGTGTGTGTGTGTGTGTGTGTGTGTGTGTGTGTGTGTGTGCGTGTCTGCGCACACACATTCATGAGCCAAAGAATAACAGGTATATGTTAATGAAAAGATAAAAGTTTGCCTTTAGATGTACTGGAAGACTTACAGGTTTATGGTGGATGAAGGCCAAGTTACATTCTTCAGTGGTGTGGCGAACCATTATAGCACTGTGGCCACGGCCGAGTTTGTAAGCAGTTGGAGGGAGCAAGGATGGCAACTGCCTCAGGCTGAGTTCACCAATGGCATCTGTTGAAGACAATATAGGTGAGAATATAATGTGGAATGGCATACATGTGATTTGTCATTTGGTATCCAAATAACATGAAACCTATGGTAACAGTTACATGCAGCCAATTCCCACCCTGTGGATGGTTATAGTGACATGTCTGTCGCGAACAAAATGGCTCTCAGAGCCAGCTCGTTGATGTGACCGATAGGAGCCGACTCCCTCCTGCAGGAGCCGGAGAGAATGACACAGACTGTACCTGCAGGCTCTAGAGCCGCTAAAAGACTGCAAAATGTGCGCATGTGGTACGCGCGCACCAACACGCAGCATACCTCTGATTGCTGTGAGACAAGGAGGAAGGGGGTGGTGAGGTTGCAGTGCACCTCCGACCACTCTGAAAGCAGGGAGAGGGATGGCACGCACAAATTGCCAGGGACAATTACTACACTGAACAAAAATATAAATGCAACACTTTTGTTTATGCTCCCATTTTTCATGAGCCGAACTCAAACATCTGAAACCTTATCTACATACACAAAATACCCATGACTCTCAAATATTGTTCTGAAATCTGTCTACGTGTGTTAGTGAGCCCTTTTCCTTTAACAAGATAATCCATCCCACCTCACAGGTGTGGCATATCAAGGGGCTAACTAGACATCATGAATAATGTGCAGGTGTGCCTGAGACTGGGATTGGGATTATCTTGTTAAAGGAAAAGTGCTCACTAACACACAGGTGGACAGATTTCAGAACAATATTTGAAAGTCATGGGTATTTTGTGTTTGTAGATAAAATTCTAGGTGTTTGAGTTCAACTCATGAAAAATGAGAGCAAAAACAGAAGTGTCGCGTTTATATTTTTGTTCAGTATACATTAAAATGATAGGACCAGTAAACATTGGTGGAGACATATCTGTAACCCCGGATTTCCACGGGAGCCGTCAGCAGCACGTTACCGCAGCAGCACGTCTTGCTCGCGTAAACTGCTGCTTGGCCCTTCCCACGAGACGCGAAGGAGCAGGGGAGCAGCTGTCACCAACCGAGCACGAAGTCACACGAGTGACTTCGTCAGTAAACACAACAACAAGCAGGAGAAAACTACAACATGGCTCCAAAATGTTTGTGTTTTATGTTCTGTCCGTTTTATAATCGCCAGTACGGACCTGAAAAACAAAGGAGACCGCTAGCTAGGTGATAACTTCTCACGGGGCCGCACAGTTAGTAACTTTTTTTAAAAGTAAAGCAACCAGAAGGCAGTACGTTCTTTATTCTGAAAATCTCGGGAGCTTCGCTCCATTTCCGCGTCCGATTTCCTGTCTTTCCTTCCCCAAAAATGTCGAACTTGACCCGTTTCAGAGGCGTCGCGCGTAGAAAATAGAACCGGCGCGTAAAGGCCGCGACATGCTGCTCCTGAGACGCGGCCGACTCGCGCTGCTGACGGCTCCAGTGGAAAAGGTTCTGTTGACCACAGCGGTTCCTATCAGCAGCTATGATGTGCTGCTGCAGTAACGTGCTGCTGACGGCTGCTGTGGAAAGCCGGGGTAAGAGACGAGCACTGCACAGTGTTTCCCCTACAATGGCTCAGATGTGGTTACATGCGCTATTACAGAAAGTCCATCACAGCCCAGGTGAGTAATGTGCCCATCAGTTAGACTAGGGGTCTTGTTGCAGGCTTTTGACACTAGTTGGGACTAAAATAGCCTAGTGAGGGAGACCAGCCTCGTTGGGGAAACCTTACATTGACACAAACCATATTGACAATTGCAAAGATGGCAAGCAAGAATATTTTACCTTGTGTTAACCCATCCAGGGACGAGATCAGCTTTCCCTCCCGTCTTGACAGGTACAGGATTTTCTCCGCATAAATGGGTAGCCAAGTTTCAAACAACTTTGATGAAGCATCCCCATGCAGGATAAGAAAGTCCTGTGCAATGTACAAAATAGGAAACTTTTTTTAAACAAATTCAATGTGGCATACTAATAAAAAACAATCATCGTCATCACATGTTATTATTATTTCTCTAAACGTACCATGCCTTTGCTCATTAGGCGAGGGAATTCTTGGAGGATCTGGTAGATGGTCCAATTGTTGTCCCTAATGCACTTGGCCCTGTAGACTGCAGTGTCTTGCATTTAGTCCTGTACCTGACTGAGGGGCTGGCAATTGTTTCTTAACCATTCTTTAAGCTGTGATGCGCATTCGTCAGATATGGTACACTCTGTTAAAAAGAAACACAAGAATTTGATTCTGACACGCAAACACATACATGATGAAAAAATTTGAACACATGTAGATTCCAGTTTTTGGGTGAACTTTTTAAAGGGGTCATCACCTGAAATGTTTACCTTTCTATGTTAAAACATGTATATAATGGTTTGCTAATGATTGTACACTGGCCTAGAAGCCAATATTTAAAAGAGATTATATATAATCTGAATATTTGTGCTGACTATCCACAACAGAATGATAGTAAAAGTACAAGTAACATTTTTAGATCTATTTGCCCTATTTAGATCTATTTAATAGATCGATTTAAGACATTTTAAATACTTTAAGCGTCTTAATTTTCTTTTCATCTCCTTTACCTAGCCGGGAGCTGTAGCTGCCGAGAGATTTCCCGCTCCTCCCCATCCCCCCACGACTGTTTCATTAGCAATAGCCACAGACTCTACTCATTAGTTCAAATGCAAAGTACAGAAGTTCCACTGGATTTTTTAATGTAAAAAAGTAATCAGAATAGCAGTTTACGTACGACACAGATAAGCTACGGACACTAGAAAAGGCTCAAGACAACCGCTAAATGGCTAGCTAGCTACATTGTTACCCAAACCAACCAATGAGCCTCAACAACATTCAGATACCAACAGGTAACAGGCACAGACGTGACGAGAAATAGATAGTAAACACAAACAATACATACCTCTTATTGTTGATTTACCTCGCAACAACGATGTTTTTCCCCCGCTCAGATCGAAGACAAAATGGATCCTGGCGTTGTCAAGGATGGCTGTAGATGTAATGATGTTCAAACCGGTTCAAACCGGTTCAAACAAGTACAACAACCCAGGTGCTGGGTCAAGTTGCACTAAAATAACCAAAATCTCATTCAAATAACCCAAAATGGGTTACACATTTCATAACCCAGCAGTTGAGTAGATTAAATAACCCAAATGTTGCACAAAAATAACCCAAATCTCATTCAAATAACCCAAAATGGGTTACACATTTCATAACCCAGCAGTTGAGTAGATTAAATAACCCAGCAGTTTTTAGTGAGCACCATCAAGTAGCTCGAGTGTCTGCCTCACCTGTACAGGTACTTCCTGTCTGCCAGCTCGTCTTGTCCTCTCCCTTGGGCGATGTAGTAGATGTTTTTCATCGCCAGTATTTTGCCCCAGAGCAGAACTCGTTGGAACTTGTACTTTTGCTTCAGAATCTCGAAGGACGTCTTCAGAGCGATGATTTTTTCGGTGCTGTACGCCCCCCCTTGACCGGTTACGAAGTTCAGGGAGTAGGTTAATAAGTCAGCATCCATGTTGAACCAGGTTTGGTTGGTTTGATCCTCAAAAAGCCACGTTCTGGTTCTGACTCACAACGGAACCGCAACACACACGCAGCGCTTTTTTCTGTTACTATGGCAACCGAACGCTGCCGTTAGGAAGTCCCGCTTGTGTCGTCACTTTTCACACAAAGTCAAATAAAAAATTACCCAATAAAAAGAAAATCTTATTTTGGGGAGTTATATGCTTAGAAAACTCTTGTTAAAAAAATAAACGGGAACGTCTGACGTAACCCTTCTCTCATGGACGTAATTTTGGGGGGGACAGGGGGGACATGTCCCCCCCCCCCTACTTTTTCCAAAGTCAAGTTTTGACCCCTGCACTTTTTACCATCCAAAAACAATATTACGCTATATTAAATTGACACTGGTTGAGCTCTAGGACCAAGCGGAAAACAATCGTTTGTGTTGAAGCCTGTTTCCCATTAGAACATACTGTAAAGATACCCCCCCACCCCTGTGTCCCCCTCACTTCTAAAGTGAAAATTACGTCCATGCGGCTTCTCTGGTGTACGTACGTGCGTCCCAGCGGCAGACCACAGAGCGCGTAGATGGCCAGATGTCTGTTTGGTCCAGAAGGAGAGATCCGATGACTGCTCTGATGTAACATCTGTGATTCAGTCAACATCTCTTGACTCTCAGGGAAATGATAGCCGGCGCGTTTACTGGGAAAATGCAGTTGAAACCAGTAAAGTTGCTGAACCCAATTTAGCCCCAGCAGGACCAGTTAATGTTCATGATTGTGATCTGAATCCAGCTGTGTTTTGAAATGCACCTGATTGCACCAATGTTGTTAATGTTCTAGTAAATTACTCATCCATGTTGAAAACTCCACTTTCCTACTTTTCCCAAATTCTCACATTTTCCATAACATTTCCAGCTTTATCGTTTAGAGTTTGGGACAATTATTTACCAAATTTGTAATCAAAATTCCATTGAATGAAATAAACATTGGGCAAAAATAAAAATAGGTTATTTTTCATATTATGACAACTTTTTTCCATATTTCAGTCTTTTCAAAACTACAATTTTCATTCATTTTATTTTGTGGATCATTTTTCAGGAGAGAGCATGCTAACTATGCGCAGAAAGGCAGCAGCTGGGATTCGAACCTACGACCTTCTCACTTTGAGGCCACAATTCCACCATGCAGCCCGTAAGATCTTGTGTAGGTATAAACAATCCACTGAAGTTTGAAAATCTTTGCATATAATTTGTTCATTCTGTTCATACCAACCTCTGTACATTTTATATCTCTTATCTTATTGTTTACTTTATTCATTTCTTAAATATGTATGTACGCATTATACACACACTCACACGCACACACGTAGAAAAATAAAAAAATAAAATACTTAGCACACACATTTAGGAATGTATATACCTTAAATACTATATATGTTATTACTTAGATTAGCCATTTTTATATTTTGCTTGTTTTTACATTATTGTATTTTGCACAACTGTTGCTGTGAAGCTCGCACACAAGAATTTCACTCACATGTACTGTACCAGTGTACCTGCACATGTGACGTGACAATAAAAGTGATTTGATTTGATTTCTAGGCTGCTGTAGGAACACAAAGATGCTACATAAACAATTCCCGTACGATCACTCATAAAAACAACGTATTTATGACAATTATATTTGTGCATAAAAAATACCCAAAGCATGACCTGAGTTTTAAACACTCTGTCAGCACGACAGCACGCCAGTAACATGTTTCAAACATGCCTTGCAGATCTCGAGCCTATTGCACATCTGCAAAGCAGGAGCAAGTCTGATCTATGGAGGCCCCATGCTGAAGCCCAAAAGACCCAAAGCACGAACTGAGAATGTTCCGGTGCCAAACGCCACAGGAGACCTGCTTTGATCCTGACTGGTTACGGCTTTTTTAGTGATGCAAAGGGGCTTTATGTTACAAAAACATGGAATGTCAGTGTTGCAGGTGATTTAGACACGGTGGAACATTTGAAAAGTAGCTTTGCTTTCGTAATTGTTTACATATATGTTAAAGTTCATTTGCAAGGACTTATGGAACTTGGAAAAAGAGAAAGAAGGCAGAATATAGATCTTTTCCTGTCAAGAAACATAGATTAAAAAATCTGGTATAATTCATAGAATATCTTTGTAATTTTTCTGATTTAAAACAAGAAATTAAGTTGTTAGAGGAGTTCAGAGTGTAGCTTTTGTGTTGGACTCAGACACTCCTTTTCTTTCATCCATGAAGTTAATAAAAAAAAGAGATTTAGCGAGGAAAGGGCCAAAGGGTGTTTGGTTTCTGGCTGTTTGTGAGTGACAGAAAGATAAAAATGCTAAAGGAACATATGGCAGGATGTGCAGATTCCTTTCAGTTTAAGACAAATAGGATGTATGCCTGTTAGGACTGATAATATCACTGATAGCACAAGTTATGGCAGTCAGTGTGTGCATGTTAATATATTTTAGCGTTGTTTAAGCATGAATGTGTCGTCTGGTTTTGGTTTTAAACTAAATGTGTGCATTTAGTTGTGTTACCAGAGTTAGGCTGTGAATAGTGTGGGCTGTTGTAATGGTGATTTGCCTCCGTTTCAACCCCTGAGCGAAGGTGACTTAGTAAAAAGTAGGAATTTTGAGATCAGGTTTTTTTTCTGCGAGGTGTGACCAAACTTTGGAAATTCCCAGTGGTCACATCGTCACCCTGCAATAGCTTTTCCAAAGTTTAACAAGAACAATGTTTCTTCTCTCTTTCTCTCCTATTGTGTGTATTATTAAATAATTTCCTTTTAACCAAATGAACCTACATTTTTATTTGGAATAATGCTCTGTTGCCATTTATTTTAGCTAACAGCTGTTCTAAACACAGCCAAAACCAACATATCGCTGCCATCTTACATGAACATATCTCCCAAATTTCACAAATTTTCTCCATCATTTTGCCATCCTATGCTTATAATACAACATCCTGAAGGAATGCGCTGCACTTGCTTAGCAACTTCACTTTTGTTGAATGTAAGCTCAATCTGTAATTTGAAGCTGTTCAGTGAACTGTTTACAATATTTCTATAACATTTACATAGAAAAATAAGCCAAATTGACCCAAAAAAATGCCCTTTATTGTTATAATGCCAAATGTATTTTACATTTCTAAAATTGTAAAAGCTCTTGAATAGGATTAGTACATTCAGTCATCGGTTAGGTAGATTACAGGCTTGTCTTGAGGACATAAAAATTTGGATGACTCTAAACTTTTTGCTTTTAAATCAAGACAAGACGGAAGTTCTCATCTTTGGACCAGAAATCCAGAAAAGGAAACTGCTTAGCCAATCACCTGACCTGAATGGCATTACATTAATCTCCGAGAACAAAGTAAGGAACCTTGGTGTTATCTTTGACCAGGACATGTAATTCAAATCCCAGGTTAAACAGGTTTGTAGGATTTCCTTTTTCCACCTTCGAATATTGCTAAGATTAGAAGCATCCTTTCCACGAGTGATGCTGAAAAACTAGTTCATGCATTTATTTTTTTATTTTTTATTTATTTATTTTTTTAACCGTGTCCTGTCTGGCTGTGAAGCAAACAGAATTGATGTCTGAATGCTGGTGACAAGCCTTACAGATTTACTCTCAGGTGGAGCATCAAAGCGTCTGCTTTTAATGTCACGCCTGATACTTAAAACTTTATTGTTATTGTTTTTAAATGCTTTGTAATTCCGACCAGACACGGAGTCAGAGGTGAAAAAGAAAGGAAAAGACAAAAGGTGGGGTTCCACAAAAATAAACAATAATGGACAAGAGTCTGCTTCTAGACCTGCAGAAAGAGAAGAGCAGAAAATAAAGGGACACACAACAATACATCAGGAGCAAACTATCACTGCGTCAACGTGATGATGAAATATAAAATCAACATTGTTTAACTGAACAATCACACGATAATAAATCACAGTTCATTTAGTGGCAACGACAGCCTTGATACAAGTGTTGAACGTGCCCAAGCCCATACTTTTGAGAGCACCATGTGAGCACCTGTGTGTGTACACGTGCTTGTTTATGTAAGGTTTCTCTATAGGAGCGTCCAACAGAGAGTGTGAGGGACCACAGATCTGCCCCCAAAGATGCGCAGGAGACGGGGGGAGCTCCAAGTCCCAGAGATCCAGGCGCTGCCCCAGAACACAGGAACCCCAAGGGGACTGCAACCAGAAAGCCCTGAAGATCACGGGCAGCCATTGTGAATGTGCCAAAACCGGGGTGATGGGACTGTCTGTTGGAGTTTGCCAAAAATCTAGCGGCAGCGTTCTGCGCAATCTGCAGCCGGTTCATAGCTGAAGCAGGAGCGCCAATGAACAGTGAACTTGCCTGGTCCAAATGAGAGGTAATAAAATCATTTTTCACAAACTCCATGTGTGAACGTTTCAGTACTGGGTTCAGGCGTGTCAAACGGCACAGTTGAAAAAATAATTTAAAGAACCCATGGTGTAATAACTGCATTTAGTGACACATTGAGGTCAGTACATGGAAAACTTGGAACAGGCGATGTGGGTGAAGGTTTCTAGGCTCAAAAAGAATCGACTCAATCTTTGACTCATTCGTACTTAGGAAGTTTGCAGCTAACCAGGGGCGGCGTTAGGCCCGGCTACTTGGGCTGAAGACCCGGATGTTTCATGGAAAGCCCCGGATCTAAATCGCGGAAGTAACATGCAGTACCAAAGTCCAACAGAGAGGGAGCAGCTGGCAGTAGTTTGTATACAGCCTGCCTGAGCCTCCACCACTGAAGAAGAAGCCCTTCAGCAGCCGGCTTCTTCTACACTCTCTGCCTGAAACGCACGAGTGAAGATGGACATAAGGACGTTTTTTAGACCAAAAGTACGGCGACAGAACCCCAGCTTTGATGAGACTGGTGTTGACTCAGGTTTGTGAGTCTTATTTGAAAATATTTGTTGTGCTGCTGGTTTGCCTAAAGCTAGCTTACTATCAGGTAAAGTTGTTGGAGAAAGAAAGGGAATATTTACTATCATCTCACACTAAACACTAACAGGAACAATACTCTGCCCTGAATATGCTTAATATGTAGCTTCAGATTAAACATTATGTGGTACAAGACAAATATATATGATGTTGACTAGCGTGTCACGTGTGTGTGTGCGCGTGTGTTAAGCCCCGGATCTTCTTCAATCCTAAATCCGCCCCTGAAGCTAACCATTCCTTTACATCGGAGAGAACATTACAACTTGGACGTCCGCGTCTTTTATTGCCAAGTAGATCTGACAATAATCAGCACCAATGTGAAAAGTGATGCCGTGTACAGTTAAAGTACAGCAGGTGGTAAGTCACTCACGTACTCTTTATCTTCCCAGCGTATTTCTCACCAGGGTCCAGGGAGAGTTGTTGCTGTCTGTGTCCACCGGTCTTCAGATGAGATAAGGGCAGAAATGTCGTAACCCAAATGTGAACCTGTAACCCTCTGGCTGTGAGGCCACAGCACTACCAGTGGCACCACTATGCAGCTCTTCAAGAGACAAATGGTAATAACATCATATGAAATAATGCAGTATTCTTAATCAGTCACAATGATCGTATAAATATTGTTTTAATCAAAGTATTTACATTTATAAACACAGTTCCCATCATTTCTTGTTTTAGACTTTAAAGGGTTAAGAGTGACACAACTCAATAGGAAGCTATAGAAGCTATACATTCAGATGTGCTGGAACCCTCTGAGCCGTTTATGGAGCCATTTAAAACACACTGACTGAACAACAGTCGTTGAGCTTATTGTGGCTCGAATCCAGCAGCTTCAACCAACAGAGGCAGCGTGAAGTTGGCTTGAGTTTCACTAAGAACAACATGCCTGGCTGCTGTCCAAAGAATGATTCAGGACCATCTACACATGTATGGAGCTAATCTTGTCCAGGATGGTCCCATTATACCGCTCCTGGAGCTTTCCAACATTTTAATTTCTGCCGATGAATCTAAAGCCCCTGAAGTCCAAGTGTAGGCTGGTTTGGGAAATCGGAACATCTGTTACATACATGACTACAAAACAAGTAAATAAAAACGTGTTTTCTTCTTTGCAACATGTGTTTCCTTAAGTTTTGTCATAAAAGTTCTCAACTATAGAAATAAAATTTCCTTGCATTATTCCCAGAATTACAACTTTCCATTATTCACGCACTCTCACATTCTCACACTGCCGGTGATGGCAAGCTACTATATAGCCACCGCTGCCCTCGGGAAGTCTGACAGAGGCAAGGCTGACATTTCACGCCATCGGCCCCTTTGACCACCACCAGCACACACAAGTCAGGTGAAGTGTCTTGCCCAAGGACACAACAGCAAAATACTACTGGTTGGAGCTGGAGTCGAACCCACGACCCTCTGATCATGAGATCTACCTCCTGAGCCTCCAAGTATTGGCCTATCCCAGAAATCTAGACAAACTGTAGCTGCAGCAAAAGATTTTGCTCTGCAGGTTGCTCTACGCCAGATGTAGGCGACCGTGGTCCTAGAGAGCCGTTATCCAGCATGTTTTAGTTGTTTCCCTGCTTCAGCATAGTTCATCAACCTGTTCAGCAGCTCTTGAAGTTCTGCAGAAGCCCATGTTGATGTATAGAAACCTCAAAAACACGCTGGATCGTGACTCTCTAGGACAGGAATTGCTTACCACTGGACGCATGCTGCATCGTTGCTTCAGCAGGGCTACCATTGGCACAAACAATTGGTAGAGTGATGTGGGCGGGCCTAGCACCAGAGCCGAGATGGAAAAAACTACAAAGATGGTGTCAGCTTAAAATGGTCGCCGTTCAAAACAGGTTTGGATAATTACTTTGGACGATTTGTCCTTGAGCTTTTCTTTGAGATGTGAGCAGATAGAGGTACTGTCGAAGGTGTGCTGCCTCATTGACTGATTTCCATAGTGATGAATGTGTCTTGTTATTCATTGCTCTGATTGGTTCGCTATCCAACTCTGTGCAGAGACAGTTTGAAAGACAACTGTATTCCACCACATAACGGTGTAACGTCCAGCAATGGTCAGTTTTTAGGTACAGTTTGACCGTTCAACATCTGGTCAACATCTGGTCAAAAAGGAGACACGAGACTGCATGTGTTCCCTTTAAATTGGCCTGCCTTCATCCCATCAGCTGGAGCTCAGAGCCTCTGCAGCTCTGAACACATGATAACGAACTGTCAACAAGAAGGTTCTCTCCTCAAGGTCCATCCTTATCGCCCTACAGGATTCTTCATGCCTAACACTCGCAGCTCGGATCAGCTGCCAAATCAAAGAATGGTTTCCTAAATTAAATATCAACTTCTAAAACTTATAAGCTAGATAATCATTAAATAAACATTTGTTTATTGCTACTTATAATAATTATAATATAATGACATGTTTCATTAATCTGTGTTCAATGATTGAAGTTTGAAATGACTGTTATGTTATGATTACAGTGATTGAAATATGTTTCAGCATGTTTATATGACGAGGTCATCACCATTTGCACTCACACAAGAACAAAGTAAGGTTAAGTTAAACTCATGACACATAAATAGCCTTTACAGTAATCCCTCGTTTATCGCGGTAGATGCGTTCCAGACCTGGCTGCGATAGGTGAAAATCCGCGAAGTAGGGACTCCCAGCATGCCCCTCGTGGGGATTCCCTCCACGTCGCACCTACGTCACAAACCGCGGCTATAAACGGAAGTCGCCTTTCCAGCTCACCACTCAGTCATCGTTTCTTCAGATTCATGATCAGAGTTTCCAACCTACCGATCCATCCCACGAACTATCAGCTCATAGCAAGTTATCTTACTTACTTCTAGAAAGCCCGGCATTTCCGTGTCACTTCGATGACGCTCGAACGCTCGGGGGTTTCCTAGATTAAATCGTGAGCCGGCGTTTCACCGACGCTATCACTTCCGCGTCTGTGAAACCACGCTCCCTACAAGCTCAACTCCCGACTCCAGCCGACCTGTCTGACATACAGTAATATATTGAATTATCG